TCAACCATCGCACCCGGGAGTGCCATGAATGATGGTCGGGGTGCCGCGGGCAACTCTGGCCTCCGTCCCTCTTTCCTTCCCTCCCTCCTCTGATGCCCTCTCGCCTCCCAAAGGCTTGTGCGGTCGTTTCTTGCAGAAGCTGGCCAGGCGGTGCTGGTTGCCAGGAGCTGAAGCGGCTTCAGGGTAAGCAGGCAAGTGGGTGAGGGAGCCCAGCTCTTGCTGTTGGGAATGGATGGGCAAGTGGGACGCCAGGCAGGCAGGCAGGTGTCACACTGGGCTTTCTTGTGCTTGCTGTGTGCAATGCCTGCCTGGGAGCTGAGTGTCCGGCACCAAAGGGGAGCCTTTCCACCATGCAAGCCCATGGCACCTGCTGCCGCCATTGCTGCCTCATGTTCATCTTTGGCCAGTCTCCGTCGGGTCACTGAGGCTGGGGGCATCTTCTCAGGCCCCTGTGGGGTGGCGTGAGGAGGCACCTCTTTGGGGCATGGGGGGGGCTCAGAGACCAGGGGCGGCAGCTGCCCAGAGGACTCCCAAGGAAAGGGGATAGAAGAGGCTGAGGGAACACTCCACAGGGGAGGTTGCTTGAAAAGGGGTGAGGGGCTGCAGGCTCTGCAGACAAGGGGTGACATAGCTGGGTTTTTGAGGCTCGGAGGGCATTTCTCCACAGGGGAGCTGCAGAAAGAATATAGTCCAAAGAAGGTTGAAAACCTCCAATAGTGTTAAGGGAATCTGTGCAGAGGCCCCTGAATCACTCCTAATAGTTGCGACTGTTGGCTGCCCTGGCCTCTGGATGGATCCATTTAGTTTTTGAAGTGAATTTATGCAAAGAGTGGGATGGGGGAAAGCAAAATTAAGAAGGGAACCATACAGGCAGGACGTGTTCATCAGGTTAAGGACTTGCACCCTGGGATTAAGTAAATGCACTAACAAAGGCAGGGCTCTGGTATCGTGTACTTCATTGCTTGCTCAAATTATAAACTGTCCTATTGCCCAAATCAGGTGAACTGCAATCAGCGTATTGGGAATTGCATCTGCAGCAGAAACTGTGTTTCACATCACAGTTTGGATTAAATTCCTGGTTAGTGTGGACCAAAGCTTCCCCAATTGGAGCAGAACAGCAAACTTTGACTAGGACAAACCAGGCATAAGATGAGGAAATCCACACACATGGGGAGAGGAGGGAGTGTGTGAGCCTGAAGGGAATTCCAGACCATTATTTGACAACTAGCTGCCATGACATCCTTTCCTTAGGGAATGCGAAGGGATGCATATGAAGTTGACAAACACTTAAAAGGGAGATGCTAATTTCTATCTGCTCCAGCACTCTGTTCGAAAGAGTAAAGTCATAGGCTCTTGAGCATCTCTGTATGTAGGGACAGCAATGCTTTGCCCTTTGGAAAATACCCCCGAGACATCCTTCCGATAAATGAAACTGAAATGAATTTACCTCCACTGCAGAATATCATCTGGGATTTATGAAAGGCTGACTCATCTACCACACAACAGCACGAGAGAGTATCACAAAGTGTTGTGCCCCATGGGGATCCTTGGGGTCTCTAACGGTTAGATCACAACTAAGCGGCAACAAGTGACCTCAAGCACACAGCCTTATTTAAGAGCTAAGGTGCCAGGAAGGATCAGACCAATGTCTCCAAAATTCAGCATTCTTGCGATTCAAGAATCTCAAATCTCAAGTTATGCAAATGCATAAACTAAGATATGAAACCAGCGTTGAGTCACAGGGAAGCTAAGAAAGCTGAACAAGCCCTGTACCAGGGGTCATTAATGTGGTGCCCTCCACATATTGGACTACACCTCCCAGCAGCTCCAGCCAGCACGGTCAATGGCCAAGGACGATGGGACTTGTAATCCAACATTATGAGGACACCGTGCCGACTACCCTTGCCATTCACTTTCAAGTTTGTAATAAACCATTATGCATTTGGTGGTCCAGCAGTGGTCCACCTCAGACCGTGCTCCCCTTTCTAACCTATCCTGATCTCTGCTGGAGGCAGCATCCTATTCTCTGGGTGTTGCCAGCGCATCAGATTCTTCTGTGCGTTGTTCAGAATGGTTTTGGGAATCTGGTTTTTTTTGTTGTTGCTGTGGTTCTGGGTGGTTTTAAGCAGGTATTAGTTTTGATTAGGTGTCTAGAAGCTGTCAGCAGGCGAAAGCAGTCACACCCTGGGAATGGCTTCCAATGGCAGGTTAAACCAGGTGATGGTATCGGATGGGTCTCAAACCCTCAGTACATCGAGGACTTCCTTTGCATGCAAAAACAGGCTCTGGCAGATTGAGTAAAAGGTAAAGGTAAAGGTACCCCCTGCCCGTACGGGCCAGTCTTGACAGACTCTAGGGTTGTGCGCTCATCTCACTCTAGAGGCCGGGAGCCGGCGCCGTCCGCAGACACTTCCGGGTCACGTGGCCAGTGTGACGAAGCTGCTCTGGCGAGCCGGCACCAGCGCAGCGCACGGAACGCCGTTTACCTTCCCGCTATAAAGCGGTACCTATTTATCTACTTGCACTTTTTAAGGGTGCTTTCGAACTGCTAGGTGGGCAGGAGCTGGGACCGAACGACGGGCGCTCACCCCGCCGCGGGGATTCGAACCACCGACCATACGATCGGCAAGTCCTAGGCACTGTGGTTTTACCCACAGCGCCACCCGCGTCCCAGATTGAGTAGACAAGACTAACAGTGGGTCCAACCGTCAAGAGGGCGGTTTCTGCATGTGCTGTGGAGGGAAGAGAGGGGCAGATGGGGCTCATCCACCTGGGAAGCAAGCCCACCTAGGAGAAATAAAACTCTGATCCTAAACCTCTGCTGCCTTGTGGGATATCTTCAGAAGAAGAAAAGGCGAAGGAATAAACCCTACACAAATCCAGAGTCCCTAAGGCACTTGGATGGCGCCTTGTACACCTTCCAGCAACTCCTGCAGCCAAGCTGGTGCCAAATGTCTTGCTCTGCTTTCCTTTGGACCACATCAGCGAGGTCTGGGCAGCCCAGGACCTCCAGACACACTGCCCAGACTTGTGCCCCAGGGAGATCATTTTGGTGTTGTTAACACAGCGGTTTGACTTCACCCCTGGACACGCACTCCACTGTCTCTTGAGACAGACAGATGCCAAAAACAACAAGTCTGATCGCGTCTTAGCTTATGCTTTAGATGGTGACGTGTCACCCAGAGTATTTTTATTATTATTATTTAAAAAGGCAAGCTATTGATCCCTAAAACAGATAAACAAGATGTGCCACCCTTTAAAACATTTCCTTCCTGAAATATTAATCTGTGAAGTGGCACTAGACAACATTCAGGGTATTAAAACAAAAGCAACCAGCGGAGAATCTACACTGCAAAATGTTTCTCTTACCACTATCTGGCAGGACACCCCAGCCAAATTCTATAGGGTGGGGTGGCTGATTTAGAACGTTTCCAAAACGTCCCCTTGGCCATCTGATTAGGATACCACTAAGGCTGGGGAACTTGTGGTGTTCAGGCGCTGCTGGACTCCAAAACCCACCAGCCCCAGTGGCCAACCAAAGTTCAGCAACACCTGGAGAGCCACAGGTTCCTCACACCTGCAAAACGGCATCCCTATTCCACCCCCTACAAGCTCCATCCAGGTGTGGTGAGCTAAGTGGAAGCTTAAAACCGTGTTTATGGAAGACAATCTTACTCGGCTACAAGTGATCGCCAAAGAAGACGACCTTCTTATTCCAATAGGCTTTTGGGAACTGACTGCTTTTAATGAAAGTGCTGGAGGCATGCTGTTTTTATCGTAATGATCTGTAGGTTTTTAATATATCTGCTATCCATCAATGTTTAATTGTTTCTTAATGTCTCCTCCTATTGTTTTAGCTGTTCTTATTTTATCTGTAAGCCACCTTGAGCCCTGGGGGAGGGCAATTCCTGTGATCTTTCATCCCAGGATCACAAGACAGTTTGCAATTTTTCAATTAGGAATAATCGCGCCTCGGATTAACCTCCCTGGGATAAGTATATAATTATGATACCCACAGTGGGGTAGCCATCAGGCAACAAGGTGTTTGGTGCGGTCTCTCTCCAACCTAATAATCTAACATAACCCTAACTGGAAGTGGAAGAATAATTTGCAAAGGGCCCTTTTTGCTACTTCCCCATGCAAAATGCATGCATGGCACAACTATCTGACACAGAGTGACTCTATTAAATCAATCAGATCCAATGTGGTGCGGAAGTCAGAGGGTCGGACTAGGACCTGGGAAAGACGGGACTTCAAACCAGCCCCCTTCTCTCAGCCTAACCTACCTTGCAGGGATGTTGTGGGGATTCATTTATAATTGCCTTGCCCAAGGCAAATTTGCAATGAAGAGAAGGAAAAACACTTTTGAGATCCCTGGAAGGGGGGGGGGAGGAAGGGCGGGATGCAAATGCAGCAAATACATACAAATTATTATAATAGGCTGGTGCCCTGCCGGTTTATTGCAAATATTGGTGCGGTTTTAACTGATTTTTATATATGCGCATATATAATATGCATGCACATGGTTTGAATTCGACTTCCCTCTTTTCCCCCGTTACCTATTGCATGTTTGCATTCTTACATTGCAAACCGCCCCGCGTGACCTTCGGATGAGGGGCGGCGTGCGAATTTAATAAAATAAAACAAAATCCCCGCGTATGGTGGTTTTTTGCAGCCATAGTTTTCCCACTCCCGCCCCATCTACGCATTTAGAAGTTCTTTTCTGGAAGCCGCCTCTAATCCCTAAGGACCCGGGGGCCAAAATTACGGTTAAGGGAATGATAATAATCCTAATTATTTTACACGGGGGGGGGGGCGGTGCTGACGATCTTCCCAAATCACGCCTGCCAACCCTCCGACCCCCAACCCTTGAGGGGATGTCGGGGAAGAGAAGCGGATCCGTCAATCCCCCTCCCCCCCCCCGCCGCCGCGCGTTAAGGAGGCCGCGCTGGCGCGTCTCCGCCGCGCACGTCTGAACGCGCCGACCCGCGTCGACTCACAGAACTCGGCGATGTAGTGGGAGACGACGTAGTTCTCCTCGCACCAGTCCAGGGTGGAGGTGGGCTTCCCCCAGTAGCCCTCGCGGTCGCCGGCGGGAGCCATGGCGCTGCGTGACGCCGGGCGAGGCGGGATGAGGGAGAGAGAGGCGGCCGGCGGGCTCGAGGGAAGGAGGGCGGCGGGGTTAAAAAGAAAAAGGAGGGCGGCCGCCGCTCCCCGGATGGGCCGTCCGCCGAGCTGGCCCCGCCCTCGGCGGCGGCGGCGGCGGCGAGAGAGGCCCGCCTCGCAAGGAGGAGAAGGAGGCCCGCTCCTCCTCCTCCTCCTCTAAAGCGGGGCCCGGCCTCCGCGTCGCCATGGAGACGGGCTGAGGCCTACGCACTCCGCCGCGCCTACGCGGCCGCCGACCTCACTGCTAATGGCCACGGAGGCCTCACTACGTCGACCTCCTGACTGGGAAGGAGGAGGAGGATAGAATAGAGGCACCGAAAGAACTCTTAATGATGATAATAGTGATGAAGATAATAATAATATTAATTAATAATAGGCCGAGCAGGGGGAAGGGGGCCTGAGAGAGGGCCTGCTTACTGACAGGGGGCTCTGGAGGCAGGGAAAGAACTAATAATGATAATAATAGGGTGATGATAATAATATTAATCAATAATAGGCCGAGCAGGGGGAAGTGGGGGCTGGGCTAAGGCCTGTTTATTGACGGGGAGCTCTAGAGGCAGAGAAAGAAATAATAACAATAACAATGCACTGGACCAGGCTGAAAACATCCATTATTGCAGCCTGTGAACAAACTATAGGATACCAAACCAAGAAACACTAGGACTGGTTTGATGAGAATGACAGTAAGATTGAACGCATGATTGACAAGAAAAGGAAGGCCTTTCAGATCTGGCAAAGAGATAGAAACTGTGCCACTAAGAAAAAAACCTATTCCAATGCTAAGGCTGAGGTTCAAAGAAGAACCAGAGAACTAAAAAACACCTGGTGGATAAAAAAAGCTCAAGAGAGCCAGCACTTAGCCGAAACTCATGATGCACAGTTTCTTTAAAGCCACAAAGACTGTCTATGGGCCAATAAATCATGGCGTACGCTCAGCAGATGGTATCACTTCTAAAAGATAAAGAAGTTATTGCATTGCACTGGAAAGTACATTACCAACATCTCCTTAATCACAACTACCCCATAGCTGCTTAAGTCCTCTCACAAATCCCGCAAAAACAAATTAGAGATGAGCTTGCAGTATGTCCAAATCTGGGAGAGTTGTTTACAGCTACTAACCAAATGAAAAACAACAAAGCCAGTGGATCTGATGGGATACCTGCCCAAATCTTCAAAGCAGGCGGAATTGAAATTACACAACTTCACATAGAAACAGAAATCGTGAGGTGGCGGCGCAGCAACAGCGGGAGGCCCCATTAGCTAAAGTGGTGCTTCAGGTTAAGTACAGTTTCAGGTTAAGAACGGACCTCCAGAAAGAATTAAGTTCTTAACCCGAGGTGCCACTGTATAAGCACTGACAACTTGGAAACACTGGCCTGCGAGTGCTCCAGTCGGAGAACAGCCTTTACCAAAGGTGTCATGGGCTTTGAAGAGACTCGAACTCTGGACACAAGGGAGAAATGTGCTAGGAGGAAGGCACGCTTGGCAAATCCACACCGTGATCGACTCCAGCCCGGAAACCTATGTCCCCACTGTGGAAGGACGTGGATCCAGAATTGGCTTCCACAGTCACGGACTCATTGTTAAAACCGTGTTTATGGAAGATAATCTTACTCGGCTATGAGTGATCACCAAAGAAGAAGAAGAAGGGGGTGGGGCTAGGCCTGCTTATTGACAGGGGGCTCTGGAGGCTGAGAAATAAATAATAATAATGATGATAGTAATAATAATAATAAAAGGTTGGGAAGGGGGGCTGGGTGAGGGCCTGTGTGGCCACCTACCGGCTTATGGCGAGGTGGAGACTGCAGCCTTTAGGGGATCATGTGGAGAACTTTTGAAAGCGGTGCTGCTGGAACTTGTAGTGCCTTTTTTCTATAAGCATACGGTAGTTTTATTGATTTCCAATACGTAACAACAATTACAATCTACAGAATAGATTTCTTCTATGGCATGTTAGTACTTGAACTACCCTGAGATCTGTGGGTATAGGGCGGTATACCCATTGTAGTAGTAGTAGTATAATAATAATAATAATAATAATAATAATAATAATGCAATAATTACATGGAAAATAAAAATAAAAGGACAACATCCCAATGTTCCCTGCTCCAGGCTAGATCAGTCTATTTAAATGTGCCAAAGCTCAGTCTGTGACTTCAGTAGCAGCTGTCCTTAAGGTTTATCAGTAAAGTCCTTTGTAAAAGGACGCCGTGTTTTAACAAATTGTCTACATCATTTGCATTATTCAATATATGTAATCTCTTGGTTAATTTTTCAGATACAGCGATGGACCATACATTCCATTTCCAAGGAGAAATGCACAGATGTTGCAATCTGTGCCACTAGTAGGCGTCCTGCTACTAAAATAAAAGTAATTAGTTATTTGCAGCAAAGGTCAGATTGCCCTTCTTTAAAAATAGTTACCTATCCCAAACGTGGGGTAGGTTATTTCTTGCCATGCCTTTATCGTCAAATCTGTTTCCATTTTATTTACTTTCTTTCATATCCATTCATTTGTTCCTTCCCTCTGCACCACTTGTTGTAAAACAGCAACAACAAGTGGCCTGCAAAAGAGATGTAGGCATTGGAAAAAGTGGAGCAGGCACCACCTGCTTAATAATAATAATAATAATAATTTTATTATTTATACCCTGCCCATCTGATTGGATTGCCTCAGTCACTCTGGAGGGCTTCATCTCAATAGGCAGGTAGTTCCCACACTAAATGGTTGAGTTCTTACAAATGCAGAAAAGGTCTATAGAATTGTAGAATAGTAAATTTGGAAGGGACCACAAGGGTCATCTAGCCCAACCTTCAGCAATGTAAGAATCTTTTGTCCAACGTGGGGTTGGTGGGAGCTAAAGTTCAGCGACACCCAGAGAGCCACACATTCACCTGCTCTAAAACAATATGTAGAACAATCAATAAATACAGTGGTGCCCCGCAAGACGAACGCCTCGCAAGACGGAAAACCCGCTAGACGAAAGGGTTTTCCGTCGCGGAGGCGCTTCGCAAAACGAATTTCCCTATGGGCTTCCTTCGCATGACGAAAGCCCATAGGGAAATCTCCGGGACAGCGGGGAAGCGCAGCGCGTCTTCCCCACTGTCCTCGGACCTCCTCCGAAGGCTGGCGGCGGGCGGAGAGACCTCCTCCCGCCGCCAGCCTTCGTTTCTCCGCTATCCCGGACGGCTTTTGAAGGCAGGCGGGGGGAGCAAAGACTTTCGCCCCCCGCCGGCCTTCAGAAGAGGTCCAGGGGGGCGAAAGTCTATGCTTCCTCCCCGCCTGCCTTCAAAAGCCGTCCGGGACAGCGGAGAAACGCGCTGCGTTTCTCCGCTCTCCCGGGAAGGCAGGCAGGGGGGAGCAAAGACTTTCGCCCCCTGCCGGGAGAGCGGAGAAATGCAGCGTGTTTCTCCGCTGTCCCGGACGGCTTTTGAAGGCAGGCGGGGGGGAGCAAAGACTTTCGCACCCCGCCTGCCTTCAGAAGAGGTCCTGGATCTCTTCTGAAGGCTGGCGGGGGGCAAAAGTCTTTGTCCCCCCTGCCTGCCTTCCCGGGGGCTTTTAAATCGCCCCGGGACAGCGGAGAAGTCCCCCGCTGTCCCGGGGCTTTTTAAAATGCTGGCGGGCGGCAGCGGAGGCTTCGCTCCCACCCGCCAGCATTTTAAGATCGCCCCGGACAGCGGAGAAGTCCCCCGCTGTCCTGGGTTTTTTTAAAATGCTGGGGGTGGGAAGAAAAGCCCTTGGTCCCCCCCCCAGCCTTCAGAAGAGGTCGGGGGACAGACTGTCCCCGGACCTGGTCTGAAGTCGGTTTCCATAGGAACGCATTAATTGATTTTCAGTGCATTCCTATGGGAAACCGTGCTTCGCAAGAAGGAAAAATCGCAAGACGACAAAACTTGCGGAACGAATTAATTTCGTCTTGCGAGGCACCACTGTATAAAGCAGATTAGCTGAGCAGAACGAGTTTGTGGGTTGAAGTTAAGAAGCCAGTACTACCGTTCCCACAAACAGATGTTAAGTGGCTTCTCAATTCAGCTGAGAATGGCCTCTTCCCACACATGGAATCTGGGCACCAAAGAGCATCCGCCGCTTTTGGAGCAGCACAGTTCTGGATTCCATGCTTCCAACACACATCCAAACAAACTTGAGCATTTCCCAGAAATGTTGAGCGATACTTTTAGGCTGGCTATTTGCACCCTTCACCGAAAGCGAAACTTTCGGAAATGTTTGCGTAGGGTGCTACTTGAGAGAAACATCTGAGGAATTTGAGGGAAAGCCAAGGACAGTTCCGATAAGGCTAGCAAATATTTCTATGGGAGTTTCCCACTCCCCTCCCCTCCGGCTTTTGCCTACCCCAGCATTTGAAGTAATGCAAATGGTGACGCTTGAATGTCATTTCTCTGGAGTTTTTGCACATTTCTGCTTGTGGGACGCTAGCTTGTATGATTTTGGATGGGTTTTAATGGAAATGGTTACATCTCTTAAGCCCTAGGGATGAGGCTGCTGGTTATAAACTGTTAAGATGGTGCCACCTAGAGGAACCAAAAGAGCTTTGCTGGGTATTTACTGTATTGCAAAGATTGAGGGCACAAGGAGAAGGAGACGACAGAGGATGAGATGGTTGGACAGTGTTCTCGAAGCTACCAGCATGAGTTTGACCAAACTGTGGGAGGCAGTGGAAGACAGGAGTGCCTGGCGTGCTCTGGTCCATGGGGTCACGAAGAGTTGAACACGACTAAATGACTAAAGTGAGAGCTGGACCATAAAGAAGGCTGATCGCCAAAGAATTGATGCTTTTGAATTATGGTGCTGGAGGAGACTCTTGAGAGTCCCATGGACTGCAAGAAGATCAAACGCATCCATTCTTAAGGAAATCAGCCCTGAGTGCTCACTGGAAGGACAGATTGTGAAGCTGAGGCTCCAGTACTTTGGCCACCTCATGAGAAGAGAAGACTCCCTGGAGAAGACACTGATGCTGGGAAAGATGGAGGGCACAAGGAGAAGGGGGCGACAGAGGATGAGATGGTTGGATAGTGTTTTCGAGGTTACCAGCATGAGTTTGACCAAACTGCGGGAGGTAGTGGAGGACAGAGGTGCCT